CAACAATTATGAAGGGGTTGTTAACAATATGGGCGGATATAACAAAAAAGATTCCACTAATAAGGAAAGTGGGACCCATAGAAATAATGTGACCTGTGCAGCTTCAGATTCACAAGCAACTCGGATAGGACATACCATGTAGATCCACGCATCAAATCAGGCACATGAGAATATGGTGCAACAGAAAGAAAAAAAGATAGGCCGAGTTGAGGAGATTAAACCTCAACAAAATACCACGTGGGTCAATATGAAAGCTCCCACAAACGACTTGAAGAAGCCAGTCAATTTTCAGTCTGCACTTCCCATTGTTCATGTTGAAGGAAATAAATTTCTATATCAAGATGAACCTGCGAACGACATACAAGATGTAGTTAACAGTAACCAAGGGTCTTGCACCCATGAACTGGGAGGACCATCTATTAATGTGCACGAGGGTGTAATGCTAGTTGATGAAAAGGAAGATATGCATGTAGTCCCTAGTGCTTGCAATGAGGACCTGATCTCTTAACTTCTTTGCATTGGATCTCACTATTCATGTCTGCAATGATTGAAGAACTAAATATTATCAGCTGGAACATTAGAGGCGCTGTTAATGTGAAAGGAAGAAGAAGAATCACAGAACTGGTGCAACTACATCACCCTGCTATTTTTGTTATCATGGAAACACATTGTTTGTTCTCTAGTGTTGAGTCCTTTTGGACGAAACTAGACTATAAATTATGTCATAAAGTGGAAGCACGTGGTCACTCAGGAGGCATTTGGATACTGATTGCCCAACATAGTCAACTAGTGACCAGTGAAGTAGCTGTATCTCCTCAAGCCATAACCTTTCGGGTCCATCAAGGCCACAAGGAATGGTCTTGCACGACTGTCTATGCTAGTCCAAGTTACAACCTTAGGGTGCAAGCTTGGTCTCATATAAAAAGTTTGAGAAGTCAGATTTCTACTCCTTGGATTTGATCGGTGACTTTAATGAGATAATATCATCTTCTGAATGTAGAGGCGGTATCTTTTCTATGCCTAGAGCATCATAGTTTATGCAATTAATAAATGAATGCAACCTATTGGATTTGGGAGCCAAGGGCCTTAGGTTCACATGGTATCGTAAACAACTCAGATCCGCTTTAGCTAAACGCGTTGACAGAGCTTTATGTGACACACATTGGCAAACCTTGTTTCCAAATGCCTTTATGGAAAACCTTTGTCGGGTTTATTCTGATCACTGTCCTTTGCTTGTTAGGTGTCGTGGCTTACGTGAAATGAGAAAGGACCGACCCTTCAGGTTCCAAGCTGCTTGGGCAACTCGTAAAGGCTTCGAGAAAATTGTTAAGGATGCTTGGACAAGGAGCATGCCAACTCTTGTGAATGGTTTGAATGCAGTTGGGAAGGAGGCCATTGATTTCAACAAGAATGTTTTTGGTAATATTTTCTCGAGAAAACGGGAGGTTCAGGCTAGACTCAAGGGTGTCCAGCTTGAACTAGAAAAGTGTGAATTTGAGAGTCTCTCCAAACTTGAAAATAAACTCCAGGACGAACTCAATGAGGTATGTTAACAAGAGGAATTTCTCTAGTTTCAAAAGTCGAGAGAGAAATGGGTACGTTTGGGAGATAGGAATACAACTTTTTTTCAAGCACAAAGCATATCCCGTAGAAGGCGTAATAAAATTAGAGGTTTATTCCTCCCTGATGGAACATGGAACACAGATCCAGAAGTAATGCAACATGAAGCTATTCGATTCTACAACAACTTATTCTCAGAAGATCCACAAGGCCACTTCGTAGATATGCAACACGGTGCACCACCTCAACTTGGGGCAAAAGTAGTGGAGTCGCTACTGGCACCCATTACAAAAGAGGAGGTTCGTATAGCGGTAATGAGTATGAAATCATTTAAGGCACTGGGACCAAATGGCTTCCAACCTTTCTTCTTTAAGCAGTATTGACCCATTGTAGGGGATGAGTTATGGAAAACTGTTAATGAGGCCTTCGTAAATGGTTTTTCAGATTATTCTCTCCTAGAAACCCTTGTGGTTTTAATCCCAAAAGTTGATAACCCCATGCACCTTAAGGAGTTCCGACCCATTAGCTTGTGTAATGTAGCATTCAAGACCATCTCTAAGGTAATTGTTGCTAGAATTCGCCCTTTTTTAAATGACATCATAGGTCCTTTTTAAGGGAGCTTCATACCTGGTTGAGGGACGATTGATAACAGTATTCTAGCCAAGGAAGCAATTAACTTCATACAAAAGGACAAGTCCAAAATGGGTTCATTGGCATTGAAGATTGACCTGGAAAAAGCGTACGACCAAATCAGCTGGAATTTCCTTCAGGCCAAGCTTTGGAAATTTGGATTTCCGGAGAGGATTATCAAGCTCATCATGTGGGGTGTTACAAATTCATCCCTAACTTTGCTTTGGAACGGAAGCAAGTTACCTCCTTTTGCACCATCTCGAGGCTTAAGACAAGGAGATCCTCTCTCTCCATACTTATTTGTATTATGCATGGAAAGACTGGCCCTAAGAATCAATGAACTGAACAAAGAGGGTTGCTGGAACCCAATCCATCTCTCACAAGGAGGACCACCCATCTCCCACCTCCTCTTCGCAGATGACGTTATACTTTTCAGCCAAGCAACAAATGATCAAGTCTAAGTAGTGGCATCTGTATTAGAGAATTTTTGCACTTCATCAGGCCTCAAGATAAATCTGGAGAAATCAAAGTTTGTGATCTCGAAAGGGGTATCTAGGTTGAGACTATAGCACTTAGAAGGAACACTGGGTATAGAACACACAACCAGGTTTAAAAGATATCTAGGGATACCAATGATCCAGGGGAGAAATAAGATATCTGATTTTCACCATGTAATTGATTGAATTAATAACCGTCTAGCTTCTTGGAAGGGGAGACTTCTTAACAAAACTAGTAGGTTATGCCTCATTAACTCAGTTATCTCATCTATTCCTTTATACAACATGCAATCCCTCTGGTTACTCCCCAAGAAGTCTACAATAAGATTAATCAAGCAAGAAGAACCATGTTATGGGCCAAGGCTGGATCATCGAGATGTTGGTCTTTAGTAGGTTGGAATACTGTTACACGACCAAAAGAGTTGGGAGGTTTGGGTATCAAGGAGTCTCAATAGGTCAATATCTCTCTTATTGGAAAGTTGATATGGGATCTTATTCATTCATCACATAAACCTTGGGTCAAGTTTATGCAAGCAAAATACTTACATGGGGAATCAGTGTTGCACGCAAAAAAGAGTAAGGGTGCATCTCAAGTATGGAATAACATTGTTAAAGCTCAAATTCCCTCCTCCCTATGGAGTTGGCTAATCGTATTTAACAGGTACAAATTCCCTTCTCCCCAGCAGGAGCTGACATTTTTTCTTGGGTAGGTGATTCTTCTGGATGCTATACAGCAGCTTCCGGCTTCAGGTTTCTTCTTCCACCCGATCATGGACTTACGAACCCTATATGGAAGCGTGTATGGAAACTACATATTCTAGAAAAAGTTAAGTTCCTTGTATGGCAAGGCCTACACTCATCCATATCGACAAATCAATTTCGTTTGATTCGTCATTTAGATTCCATGGAAGGCTGCCCTCGTTGCTCCTGCCCACAAGAAACCATTCTTCATGTAATTCGAGACTGTCCACAGTACTTTAGGGAAGTATATCTGTTGGTTGGTAATATACCCTCTCTTGTTTTCTCAATGATGGATTGTTTTACATGGTTTAAGGAAATTAGAATTAATCCAGCAGCTAAGAAACTACCCATAATTATTTGGTGAATATGGAGGTTACGGAGCAACATGGTCTTTCATGGAAATAATTGGTCTATGCAGTATGTGAAATGAATGATTGCTTTATCTATTGCACAAAATAACATGTATCTAGAGAAGCACGAGTTATGGAAAGAAAATGTAAAGTGGAATCCTCCTTAATATCCTTGGGTCAAAGTGAACGTGGATGGTAGTTGGCTTGACCAATCGAGGATCATGGGAGTAGGAGGCGTAATACGAGATGCGGTTGGACGTTGGAAGGGAGGGTTTGCACGTTCTTTCGAGGATGGTGATTCCCTTAGAGGAGAGATTCTTGCAATAGCGGAAGGACTGTCTTTCTATTGGGATGCAGGGTTTAGAAATATAATTTGTGAATCAGATTGTATAGGGGCAGTGAAAGTAGTACAAGGACCTAGCCTAAAAAAATAATATTCATAAGCATAGCGACATCATTGGTGCAGTTAAGGAATTGGTGGCTAGGGATTGGAGTGTTGAGATTGTCGTCATTCCTCGGGAGATTAATTCAATAGCTCACGTTATTGCGGGTTGGGGAGCAAAACACTCAATCATTAATGTAACATGGAGGAGTCCTCCAGATTTTGTTTTACAAGCCATAGGGGAGGACATCTGTTCCCCTATTTAATTCCCCTTGTTTGTTTTCTTTCTTTTGTTTTTAGTTTCTCATGACATAAAAAAAAATGGTCATCTTAGATGTTAAAATTATTCTCATAGACTAATAATAATAATTTTATATTTTAAAGACATAAAAATATTTTTTTTACAGGACCAAAATTAAAATATATTCATTTATAATAATAAAAAATATATTGCAGAGATTAAAAATAAAATTTATAATTTTTTTTAAATAAAAAATATTTCAATAACCAAAATTAAAACTCATTTATTTTGTAAAAATTAAAAATATATTTAAAACTTAATTATATTACAAAGATAAAAAAAAATGTTTACAGATCAACTCCTAACCTTCTATACAATGAACATGAATCTTAATAAAATTCTCTTTTTTTATAAAAATTAAAAACATTTTAAAAATCTATTATATTATTATCCATACACATAAATTCATTAAAAAATTTAATTATATTTTCATTCACACACATAAATCCGTACATATTACATATTATGATTCATGAAATTAAAATTTAATAAATATTAAAAAAATATTTAAATGCGCCTAAGTTCTTATCCTTGCTTCTAATTCTAAAACCTCAAAACCCCTCAAATTTCGTTATCCTCTCTGCTTCGAATGGCGCTCACCGCTTCGCTCGCACACAACGCATTTCCGAAATTCCCAACACCCTTCCATGGCGAAGCCTCACCATCTTCTTCATCCTTTATGGGTTCTTCGCTTACACTCTCGCGCTCTTCCTCCCTTACCGGTTCGTCAATTTCATTTTTTTTTATTTTCGGAACCATAAATAAATAAGTATTTAAATGAAAACGAATGCTTTTGCTTTTGTTCCAGGGAACCAATCACTTTCGAGAAAGCAATTCGTGGTTCTCGCCAGGAAGATTACAGGGTTGGAAGAGGCCATGAATATCAGAAGGTAACTGTTATGCTATTGTTTTTGTAGTATTCTAGTGGATTGAATTTGAATATTTCACTTCGTATTGTGATGTCATAATCTGGATTTGGAGAATATGGTAACTTTCTAAGTTTTTAGTGCTCGTGTAAGATGTTATGAGTGTTGGCTTATTAGGGGTCAGTGACTCAGCAAGGTGACTCTTCAATCTTCATAGCAGATTAAGGTCATGTTTGGATAAGTTTCTCTGTAAACACTTATAGGAGAAGAAAATAATAAGATAAAATGAATTGAGCTTCTCTTATTAGCTAAAAATTAACTTGTGAAGCTAAGCTTTTGGAGAAGTTGAATAAAAGAGCTTCTATAAAAGTTAAGTGTATAAGTTGATTTTAACTTATGGGAGAAGCTTAAATCATAGTTATCAGTTTAAATCTTACGATTTGATAAATTTAATTACCTATCTACTTATTGATTCATTTTATATGGTGGATCTTAAATGACCTTGTATGTTACGATACATGATCAAATATGTGTGAGTAAACATAGTTCTAGAGGAGAGTAAATGAGATATACTGAACTGAAAGAGACTAGAAGGTGCAATTAGATTGAAGAATGAAGTGGTCATTACAAAATGATAACACAATACTTTTTCAAGGTTAACTACTAATACAAACTACATTTCTAATAGTCCCCCACAAGCTAAAAGGTGTTCACAATATTTCCAACTTGGGATGGATTAAGTACATGTAAAAACAAAGCGAATACAAGGAAAAATACCAAAAGTACATATGCAAAAAGATATATTATGACCAAATCAATCTAAAGCTAATTGGCAAAATGCTTAACAATTAAGCAGAAGCCACAATGGCAAGGCTTAACCACATAATAGAAGCAAACTTGCTTAACCACCTAAAAAGTTGGAAGCAATAATGCTTATGTTTGCATTCTCAACCCAACCACTATTAACACTTTTAATTGTCTGGACAAAAAAAAATGTGGGGATAACATAGTAATCAGTAACAAGAATAATAAATTAACATGTGGGCTGGGAAAGTTCCAACCTACCTTAATCATTCTCTGTGGGATGATTTTTGTTAGATCCAACCTTCGAATAAAAATCAACCCACCATTTGCTGGTTTGGTTTAGTTAAAACCCAGGGGTTTTGCTGGTTAGCCAAGCTAATGAACTTCCATCTACTACATTTTGAATTTGTAGTTATCTACTAGATGTTGAATTATAATTGCATGTTATACCATATTTTTGCTAATAAAGTGTTTAATATCTCTTCTTATGAGTTCTCAATTAAAGAAGTGGAAATAGAAATTCTCCTGTATACATGTACTTGATAATCTGAATTTGTAGTTTATGTATTAGATGTTGAATTGTAATTGCATAGTATGCTGTACACAGGCAAATGCAATAGTCTTTTTTTTTTCCTCTGTTCTTTCTCATTTTCTGCTGGACATCTAGTAAGTCTCTTATCATTTAGATCTTGGAATGTAGTGGATAGATTTCAAACCATCTATTTACCCTCACCCTCATTTCTTGTTTGCCAAGCAATATAATAGTGCTCTCTTTAGAGAATAAATATTTAATTTCTTTACTCTTGCATTTGCTTTCTAAAATCAATTAAATGTTTATTTTTATTTAGAAGTAGAAAAAAGTTGATGCAATTTTTATATAGATTCTTACACATTGTCTGCTCATATGAAGAGAACGGGAACTTAAAGTTGTGACAAAGGTTAAGAAAAGGCCTCCATTAAGGCGTGGGAGAGTATCTCCTCGTCTCCCTGTCCCTGATCACATACCAAGGCCTCCTTATGTAGGTTCAGATATACTTCCAGAAATTGCAAGTGAGCATCAAATTCATGATTCTGAAGGTATAGCTAAGATGAGGGCTGCATGTGAGCTTGCAGCACGTGTCTTAAACTTTGCAGGAACTTTGGTTAGGGTAAAGTTTCCTCCTTCTAGCATACTTCCTATGTCATTTATTTACATGGTGTTCACATTCTCTTGCAAGATAGAGGTCATTATCATTTTTTTAATCATTTCTTTATAATTTAGAACTTCTGGACAAATTTCATTCTATGGTACCTTTAACAAGTTTTAGTGTTTGCTTTATTAGATTTGATGTGAAAGGCAGTGGTTTCTTGACACCGGTGTTGACCATCATGGGTCATGACAACTTTTTTTTTTTCTTCCTCTTTGTGCTGGAAATAACCAATTAAACATGGCTTTTACTAATAGTGATTGATAGTTGGCCAGTTAGTGGGAAAGACCAGTGGGTGAATTTGGTTGCATATGTCTAGCTTCTATTGGTGATAGATCATAGGTGGAAAATGGTAACAAGAATGTAATGGGTATGGGTGCAGCTGTTGGAAATTTTGATGTTGGTTATGGCTGAGTGACTTCTTTTTCAGCAGATTTGACCTGTTTTAGGCAAGTGGATCATTCACAACAAAAATGAGTTTTCAGAGATCTGTTCAAGGTTTATTTTGTAAACCAGTCATCTCCTGCAAACTAATAAGTGTGTCAATCCACATTTTGCTTTATTTTTATTTTGGTAGTACAGTGAAGGAGTTTTGAAACTTACAATAATTTCCCACTAACTATTTCTATCCCGGGCAACATGAATAATATATAGTATATGTCATTACACCGAACTGTTGCCAATTGGAAACATTCTCTTGCAATCACTTTTTTATTAATTTGAAAGGAGTGTGATGTTCATAGCTTTGATCAAGCTTTCTTATCATACACTTGTTAGCTTTTAGTTGAATTAATGGAAGCAAAAATTTGAGATACATAGTCTACATCTTATTTATATCTTAATATATGCTGGAATATAGAGTTTAGGTAGAGAGAAGGAAGATAAGATAATAGACTTTTAGGCTTTTAGCAATATGATATTTATATCGATACAATTCCCTAACCTAATGCTGCTATTTACACTGATAATTAGGTCAAACACTAGCACTACTAGTTCAAGTCCAAGGCTACTAATAATATGATTAATAATTAAATAGTCTGACAAAATTAAATATATCCTGATTTTTCATCTACTACCTCAGTCCTTTTTACCTGTTTAACTATTGAGATCATTGGAGATGAAGTGACAAAATTATGATGTGTAAACCAATCCATAATGTTAAATGAACTACAAAAATTGCTATCTTAAAAGTATTATATACATATTTGAATATTTTAGACTTTTGGTGGTCTAGCCCTTTATCCATATACTTGGATCTAATATGCCTTTACTTTGTTGGTTGAGGGAAGTGAGAAATATTTGGACTTATTTTAACAGTCAGATGCACCATTGGCCATTGCCTTATGTGTACCAGAAGCAATATGAAAAGTTTGATCAATTAAGAGCATTTTTTGATTGTATCTTAACCCAATAACTGTTGGAGCTTTGTCATAGCCTTTGAATTTTATTTATAACCCAACATTTTATATTTTGGGTTTAGTATGATAATTTTCTACACACAACTGCCATCCTGCAGCTTTTGATATGAAATTAGCTACTAGCAGTAATTTTTAACACATAATTGTCATCTTGGAGTTTCTGATACAGAACTGATTTCCAAAGCAGTTGTTTTCTACTTCTACTTCCAATCTTTGCTGAAAAATCAGCCTTGTCCCTGAGGCTAAAAGTTGGAAATTGGCCTTTCCACATTATCTTTATCCACTTCAATCTCAATTACTTCTCCATGTTTGTTTTGGGCATCATTATCCCCCAAAATTACCAATCTTAATTGTTTCTCTGCACATTTATGTAAGGGATAGAATTTTTCTCCACACCCAAAGCATAAACCCTTGGTTTTCCTTTCCATCAATTCTTAGTATGTTAAATGGCACAAGGCCTTTATTGAGCTCTGCTGATTTTTTCTGTTCATCCTCTGTTGTACTTGAGAATGCCACAGATGATGAAGTTCCTTTATTCTGGCCAGATGGATTGATATTTGAGTTTAACCCTGGATTGAAATGATTTTGGCATTCATTCCACCCTGTAGTCACCTTTCTTGCTGTAATAATTGATCCTGCATCACCTTGCAGACCATACAACCAATTTGATAGCATTGAAACAATGCTCTCATTTTCACACGCCAACATGCAGTCCCTGTTCCGAACACAAGTGCATTTCTTCCTGCCTCTATTCTGCCTGCATACTGCATAGCTTGAATTCTTGATTTGGGTTGAAAAGTTTGTGCTTGATGCTTAGGTTGCAACCCACCCAAAAGGTAACCCAAATGTTCTTTGGGTAAATCATTAACTTGCAATTTAAGAAACTAAAATGCTTCTATAAACTCCTCCACTGATCCCTCTTGTTTCAATTTGGCCAGTTCTTGGAAAGGATTTTCACAGTACCATCCCCCAAACCATGTAACCAATCCCTGCTTCACCTCCAATGTAAGTCTGTCTTTTGTTTTCTCTCAACAGATTAAACCAATGAACAGTAGAACCCCTCCATGATTAATTTTGCTGATTTAATATTCACATCTTCACTAATATTCTGAACTTAAAAAATAAGTTTCTGTCCTAGTGATCCATCCAATAGGATCATCTCCATTGAAAGATGGCAGTTTCACTTTCTTAACTGCCATACTGTACTCATGCATGTCATGATTGGTTGAATCTGATCCCTTCTCTTTTGAATGAACTTCCTGTGCCTTCATCCTCTTATGCACACTTGCCCATTAATATTCTTATCTCCAGCAAAATTATTTAAAAAATTTGCTAACTTTCAAACTGACCCCTACCTGAGCCTCAATTCTGGCTTCCAGCCCTTCCATTTTCACTTTGAATACATCCAACCTCTGTCCCACGTGTCATGATCTTACTTTTAGCTGGTCATATGAAATTCTCTCCTTTTGATTCGGCAGGTCAGACCAAAATGATAGAACACCAATTGATAAAGCTAATAGAAGACAATATTGAATACTGAAGTCACACAATACAACAATACATTTGCTGTTTGAGAGACAAAAATCTCCTATTACACAAATACAGCAATATGGTTGCTGTCCCAGAGACAAAAGCCTCCTACAAAGAGTATTCTCTGCCCTCAAACTGAAAATTACTTCAAACCCTCAATTACACAACCTACTATCACACACACACGCACACACACATACCTAATACTTAACTATCAGCAGTTATTTTTTATACATCCTGCAGTTTCTAATATAAAACCAACTACTAGCTGTAATATTTTACACATAATTGTCATTTTGGCATTTCTAATTCAGAACTGATTTAAAAAGCAGTTATTTTCTATACACAACTGCCCCTAACTCAGTTCCTATCAATAATTGGTACCTAGTTTGGATCACACTGCTATTTTAATCTAACTTGATCTTGGTTTATATTGTCAGCCTTCTGTAACAACTAATGAGATTGATAAGGCAGTGCACCAGATGATAATCGACTCCGGTGCTTATCCCTCACCCCTTGGCTATGGTGGATTTCCAAAAAGTGTGTGCACATCAGTTAATGAGTGCATGTGCCATGGAATACCTGATTCTCGGCAGTTACAGGTTTCTCAAGCCAATTTTGCTATTTCTGACTGTATGTTTGATATGCATTTTGCTCGTAACTGATGACAATGATCTTCTTTTTGTTTTTTTTGTTTTTCTTTTTGCAGAATGGTGATATTATTAACATTGATGTGACAGTCTACCTGGATGTATGCTTCTCTCTTACTAAAATTATTTAGGTTTAGGTGGTCACAAATATAGGTGTAATGTCAGTGTTATGCATACAATTATTTGGATCTGTCTTATAAATTACAGTTTCATCATCTTATAATTACAATTTTATCTGTCTTATTAATGCATGCAGCTAGAAAGTCTAGTTATTAGGATGCCTCTTGTACCCGAAGTTAGTATATAGCTTATTTCTGTTACTTTCTTTCCATGCAAACATGCTTAACAAGAAGGAAATATTTATTGAGTATGGATAAACATGCTTTGGCGCTGGTGCAAAAAGCTAAAACAATCAAGTCATTGCTACTTTTTTGATTGTCAATAAGTGATAGTAGTCATTTTTTTGTCATGATTTATGCCATTATATTTTGTATCAACTTGTAATATGTTTTCATTATTTTCCACTAAAAAGGAATACATTTAAGATAAATGATAGATGAATTGTTATGATAATTCAGTTGGGTAAGAGCTTCTCTTTCCATCTGAGAAAGCATGAACGTGATTTTATTTATAATCTGCTGAAAAACCAGCTGGCTGCTAAGGGAATAGGAATTCATTACCATGTTTCTGTCAAAATTATGTGTATTTCATTGGTGGATATAATTTCTCACGATATTCTTTTAGGATTTCTCTCATGCATATTAATTTTGATTGTGTGAATTTATTTTATGATGCTCAGTATTATAGATTGGTAGTCACTTTTTATTTTTTATTTTTAATCTGTTACCTATTTATCTTGGATTTTGGGTATTATATTACTGGTTACTAATATTCTCTCTATGATATTTGTTTCTTTTAGTGTTAATGACGAAATAAATGAATTCCCTTCTATATGCCATGTTAGGGATATCATGGAGACACATCAAAGACATTTTATTGTGGCGATGTCAGTGATGAACTGAAAAACCTTGTTAAGGTATATAATTGTCAGCTGATTGTGGGGATGCATTATTAATTTGATTGTGGTAGTATGGGGTGTACTCGAATTACCAAATATTTCTTTCTTTATGTATCTTCTTTTTTCATCATCTGTTGAATATTACTCCTTATTATGCAAATTCAGTTATTTTGATCATTCATTGAGTAAATCCTTTATCTGTTGGAAGGTAACCGAGGAGTGCTTGGAGAAGGGAATAGCTGTGTGCAAGGATGGTGCTCTTTTTAGGAAAATTGGAAAGAGAATCAGGTAAGTTATTTCTTGCATTATAATAAAAATAACTTGCATGTTCCTAAATTTTCTACTGCTGACATTTATCATGCCTTGCATGTGAAACTCGGTTTCCTTTAATTTGTAGAACTGGTTGTGAATTTCCAATTGAATGAATCCATTAACTTATATGCATTACGAGCTATTCTTCCTACGACAAGCTGCAAGAGAAGACCTATATGCTGTATGTCATTCTTTGAAATTACCAAACTATTCTTAAACAAGGTCCAAGTACAACAACGGGTTAAAAATTTATTGTATATTTTACTTGACAGACTCTTATTAGAGAAAGGAAGAGGAATACATTTTCCTAGGCACTGAGCACTAGAGTAGAGATGTTGAGTTTAAGTCACTTAAATGCAGCTAGCAACAGCTCGTAATCATAAAATATGTTCTCTACAAAACCATTGGAGCCAAGTATCTAAAAGTAGCCTGTCGTGATCATAACTATTCTGCAATTTTATTGTACTTTCACTCTGTTGACTGTAGAGTTAAATAGAGGTCAATCACGTAATCAATCTCTTCATCTTGCAAGATCTGATGGTTACATTAAAACATAAAATACAATGCATAACCCCATTGAGACTTCAAAAGTCATTCACCTCCCATACTTGAGCTGGTCTAAAGGCACTTTCCTCATTATATTTTTGTTTCTCTATCTAAAATAAAATGAAGATAGTATGGCACTCCTAATAACACTTCCCATCTAATAGCATTCTTCATTAAATTATCAAAATAGTTAAAAAGGGAATTCAGAATGTTACATGTAGCCCGTTTTCCCTTTCATTTGACCATAAGGAGTACTAACTGAAATCAATCTCTGAAATTTAACCCATTTTGATATCATCCACCGGATGGATGAAATATTTGAGATGCTTCAAATTGAAAGTCCTTGTCCATTTTGCCATTCCTATATGGCCTCCACTCCAGCTGAAAATGAATAGAGAGAAAAAAGAAACAAGAGAAGACTCAGATTGTGCAGCATATGCATTGCATATCAGTATCACAATCAAGTAAAAATAAAAATTAGATTAATAAATAAATTCTTGCATCATTTGCAGATTGTAATTACAAGACTTTCGAGATTTTCTTTAGCTTCGGTCTGGACTTACCATTAAATGATTGTTCCCTAGGCTTTTGTGCTCATTGAATCTTGAGGGGAAACTCTTGAACCACTGGGCTCTCAATTTGAAAAAGCTTGCAAAGCGCTTGGATCTTATTAAAGCAAAAATGAGAAAGCATATAAGTATTAAGAAAACAAGGAATAAAAAAATTAAAAATTACCATCAAAGCAAAGGAACATCCAGTATAGAAACAAAGCTTTTGTTCTCTATGAAATTGCTTAAAGTTTGATTGCAAGTTGGCTCAACTTGCAGCGCCCCAAGCATATTCTTTTTTTTAGGAACTTCCCTTAGAAGGCAGAGATACTTTGAAGACACGAAATTTGGTCCCCTTAGCTGGTGTATGATGCTAGCAATGCCATGAAGGGCAGTCGCTCAACATTCTCTATTCAACATCTTTGGATATCCGTTAGCTTGAGACTCGTTAACATCATTGAAATTCTTGATGACCTCGCGTAGGTAGTCAAATGATATATTTTTACTTCAGACCCAATATGTTTTAAGCATTCTTTCTTGGTTATAACTGTAAAAATAACCAGTTTACCATCAATTGGTAAACCGGTTATGTAGAATACATCTTCGAGGCTAAAAATATATTTGACTCTCACCTAGTTGGAAGGTACCATGTTCTACATTATAAAATTAGCTAGGGCTGTGAATAGGTCTCAACAATGTGTTGTCTGTCTTCAGTATCCAAGACATACTTGAAGCCTGATCTAGCCAACTCTGCCTCAATAGATTTGCTTAGAACGATTTTTTTTTTTTAATCTGCAATCCTTCTTGAAGGATGATTCTATTATTGTTATTCATGAGAAGTAAATAAATTAGAAAGGAAAAAGTTGGACTGATATCATGAAAAAAGACAAACAGAATCTAAAATTTGTGGAGGAGAATTAAAAAACAAATTCTACAATTCATTAGGTAACAATATGCATGTTCCTTGTTTTTTGGGCTGTGTCTGTACAAGTGGCTCAATTGGACTTGTATATATGATTTTGAATTTTCTACTTTCATTTTTTGAGTTAAAGTTATTAATTACATGTTTTTCTATTTCTATGCTCTTGGTACACTTATTGTGTATTTTAATTGATTATGTGATCTGCAATTTATGGCTTCTAATATATATATTTAAGCACTTCCTTTTCTTTTGAAACATTACCTCAGTGAACATGCTGAAAAGTATGGCTATGGTGTAGTGGAGCGTTTTGTTGGGCATGGTGTGGGAACAGTGTTCCATTCTGAACCAATTATTATACATCATCGTAAGTGATCAATCAACTTGTTTAATTTCTTCATCATATTGTTTTTTCAATCATGATATAGTTGTCTAAATAACACCACATTAAACTACTACATATTTATCGTTTTTTTTTTTCTATGATTAATGATTATTATATGGTAATAATTGCTACTTAACTGGATTGTTCGTAATAAAGTTTTCATGTAAGGGTTTGTGGTTTAGGTTTTATGAAAAACTGAACCAAACGGTTAAGTCTGGTTTATTTTGGAAAATCAAATCTGTTTTCCCCTCCAATTTAATTTGAATGTTTTTGGTGAACTGGTTCAAAATCAGTTTCAAACCAATCTAAATTGGTTCTGAACCAGTTTGAAACTAGTTTTGAACTGGTTTTAAACTGTTTTTTTAGTTCAAAACCAGTTCAAACCTTGTTTTATATTTGTTTAAAAACCAGTTTTTAAATATGATTTGGTTTCATAACTTTCATTAGTTTTTTTGCACGGCCTTGATTGATGGTTAGTTAGTTGCTTGGTAGTGCAAAATTTTAATGTTAAAACTGGAAAACCTTTTTACTTTTTATCTTGACGATACCAGATCATTCATTTAAAACTCTCCTGTTCTTTGACAAAGCTGAAAGGATGGTAAATCAGTGGTTGGACTTGGATGTGTTTATTAATTAATTAATAATTAGCTTTCAATTTTCAACCCAATAGTGATTCATCATAGTAGAAGCAAGTTAACTCTGGACGAACATACTTGTTGTGTTATAGGGGTTCAAATCCTGAAGTCACCACTTTGGAGGGGGCTTTACCTACCTGGCTACCCATCATCCTTAGCCAGAATTTCATGAGCCATTGTGTCTACAATATATGTTAGATATTAAAATAGTCCATGTGCCTTCAGCCAATAGCTTAAATTTTTTGGATAGTGGATTTATGCAGGGTATCAAAGCTTTTATCATGACCATGTGATCTAGATTTAGTCCGTGGTACCCCCATCTTTTTGAATAAAAAGAGATTAAATTTCAATACAAAGTGTGGATCAGAGCATTGTTCACATTTCAAGTCTATAGGTGCATGGGGGCGTCATATAAAAACCATTAATGCAACTTCACCAAATAGCTCCTCTGTTCCCTCTTGTTTTCCTTGTTATGCAGAGAGGGTTTTGGAGTTATGAGGAATTGCTTTATAGTATTATTTTTTTATTTTCTCTTAACAGACTTCTAATTTTATACATTGCTTGACAGGCAATGACAAAGCAGGTTGTATGGTTGAAGGTCAAACATTTACAATTGGTAAGTGTGCATTGTTAATTTGTACCAAGAATCTGAGGTGGTAATAGCTACCTTTTCTTTGCCATGCTGCTTCAAATATTATTTTGTGGCATGTCTAGAACATTATTGACAGGTGGTCATCCTGCTTATAATCTAATTAGTAATTTGAATTGAGTCTTTGTTTTGGAATAACAGAATACACGAGGGAATTTTCCGTTGGTAGAAAAAAGTGATTGGGACCTGTTTGGTTTTTGGAATTGTATTTGTTTTTGTTTACTATTTTCACTTGGAATTAAAAAATTGCCCAAAAAATTCCACCAACAGTAATTCTGTCTTCTTTCTGCCCGAGAGTGGTAAAACATTTTGTTGAGATTCATCATTAGTTCTATATGGATATATAAATTAGGTGGTGTTTTTATATCCCTTGACTCCCCTTCAGACTCTCACGATTTTGAAATTCCAATATGAAAGTAAGCCAATGCAGATGCTATGACAATTGTGTTTGTTCTGGGCTTCCTCATCACCGGTGACCTTGAATTTATACATCTTATCTTCAAATGAAAATAACAAGCTAACTCATCTGTAATTTGATTTTAAATTGCTTCTGGTCCTGAATTTCTATTGGAAGTGGATTTTTATATAAGTTGATTGTTCTCTGTTTTGGTCAAGCTGGGTGTTTAGTCTTGAAATTGAATGACCCCTTAGAATTTTACCTAACTTGCAGAGCCTATTCTTTCCATGGGAAGCATTGATTCCATTACATGGCCCGACAACTGGACAACATTAACAGCTGATGGTAGTCCGGCTGCACAATTTGAGCATACCATTTTGATAACTAGGACTGGTGCCGAAATTTTGACAAAATGTTGACATGGTAATTCTTTTTTAATCCGCATTGGTGGCCTTATGAAATCTAAATGGAGTTTGTGCAAGTTGTAAATATGTGTCTGAATCAATATGCTTCTTGAAGATTATGCTCAGTCAAGTAAATTGCCTTCAGGAGTTGTATTCCACAGTCTAGTGCATAGAATTTTCATATATATGGCTCCAACATAGAGACTGATTCAGCAGTTCATGTTTCTATCTGAAAATGCAAAGTTATGACAGTGGATTAATAGAGGTCTCTGCTCAGATAACTGTCGAATTGAAAGTTGAATTGGTTGTCTATTTTTCTTTGCAATAATAAATTGGTTATTATTCGTTGGCATTGTCTATTTTAGGCTCGGATGTTATTGGAAAGAGTTTAAGCTGAGATTTCATATAAATTGATGGACATTACCCATGGGACTACTTGATCAAGCTGAACCAGACGAGGATTCTCGAGTTAAATTTCGGATTGACATAGTGAATCTTCGTATCAACAAAGCTCAATTGTTTTAATACATAATCAAAGTGAGGCTTATCATAAAGTAATAATCCCTGGGCTCAATCAAGTCTATAGAAATATAACGATTGCCTAAAGTATGATATTCTATCAACTTATCACACGGGAAGTTCAATCAATTTTTATTTTAAGCTGCATATCTTGTTTTATTCTTCTCATCATAGATTGAAAACACTCATTTCTTAAAATGTTTTGCACTTAAATTTAACAGTAATTAAGGACAGCCAATCTCCTATGGAATAACTGCATAATGCGTTGACATTTATTTACACTTTTAACATAAAAACAAAACAAAACAAACCCAAGTGCCGTGTGGTGTTTTATGAATTAAATTTTATTTATGTAGGGTAGCAGCCATACGTGAAGTGTCCTAAATTTTATTTTAGATTGACTAGTAAATGTGGCCAATTGCACATAAATAATTTAACTAGTCTTGACTAAAGCGTTCGTTTTACTTGTTAGTTAGGAGGAAAGAACGCAGCAGATGTGAACTTTATTATTTTTATGCAATAGGAAGAGGACCAGAGAAAGAAAAATCATTGAAGATGGTAAAAGAGACAAAGTACCCATTTGGGAAAAGAAAGCACTAGTAGACATCATTTGCTAACCTTACCGTCCACTCTCGTTTCACACGTTCCAAAATACTTCCACGTGTTAAAAGTTAAAACAAAAGTACTGTATAAATTTTCCATTTATAAAGCTCCTTTGATGATGCATTCATCACAACCATTCACCATCAATGGCTTCCATGAGCTCTCTGAAAATGATTTCGTCCCTCAAACTCTCTCATTCAAGTTCCATCTCTCCTCTTCAAACCCAAAAGCAAGTAGGTTCTAGTCTCTTTCAATCCTTCCCAACCAGAACTTTAAAATTCGCAGGTACCCCGCTAGTATCTACAACCAGAAGAAGTCACAACAACACAACCACTGCATTCTTCTTCAATAACTCAAAGCAGCATCAAGATTCTTCAAAGCCAGGTAAGTGCTTTTCAGATCCCTTTGCTAGCTAGATCATCCACATGATACCCACTTTTCAATAATCACTATTTCCCTCTTAGTAATATCTCTGAGTAGCATTTTCTAACCATAATTTGTATAGAGCTAGCATCCCTCATTCATGAATTTGTTGATTTCTCTAGCCAAAGTTCAAGAACTCTTTGTCTATGAGATCAATGAACGTGACAGAGGAAGTCCTGCATACCTCAGGCTAAGCCAGAAGGCAGTTAACTCTCTAGGAGATTTAGTGCCATTCAGCAACAAGTTATACTCTGGAAACTTGGAAAAGAGAATAGGGATAACTGCAGGCTTATGTGTGCTCATACAGCATGTTCCTGAGAAAAAGGGTGACAGATATGAGGCCATTTACAGCTTCTACTTTGGAGACTATGGCCACATATCAGTGCAAGGAGCTTATCTGACATACCAAGACACATATCTGGCTGTAACAGGAGGCTCTGGAGTCTTTGAAGGTGTGTCTGGACAGGTGAAACTTCAGCAACTTGTGTTCCCTTTCAAGCTTTTCTACACCTTCTACTTGAAGGGTATTCCTGATTTGCCGGCTGAGCTACTTGGGAACCCTGTTGAACCTTCACCAAAGGTTGAGCCATCTCCAGCTGCTAAGGCTGCTGAGCCTCATGCCTCTATTCCAAACTTCACCAACTGATGCTGCAATTCAGCCTTTCTTTTTCTCAGAAAGTTTTAGTTTTGAACCCAAAATAAAGTTTAGTTGCTGCAAATTTGACTATATTATTGATGCTTCTTTTGTTTGTGTTGGACTATATGCGGTAGATATAGTTACCAGAATCTTATGAATGAATCATATGATTTGATTAACTGGACAACCTACTGATTCGTATCATAAGATGAATTTTAAATGATTTTGGAATGAATCTATGCAATTTCACATCATCGATATGAATTATGTGATTCAACTATTCATTATTTTTACTGTGTTTTTTCACCAATTTTCATGAAAAAAATTTTGAGTCAATAACTGATCATTTTGTTCTATAAGATTTCTGCTTAAGTTTTTTTTTTTTAATCTATTTCAATGTTAATTTTTCATTATCTCAAAATCTTCCAATTTGATATGAATTATGATTTACAATTCAAAAATTAGTTTAGTGAATCACGATTCGTAACTCAATTTGATTTTTTTATTAGTCACTAGGATTGATCTAATGATAAAAATTAAGATAATTAAGATAGTATGTGCAAAGTTTTATGTTGAAATATTATTTGACCATAATATTATAATTCTTATAAATAAATAAGAAAATTAATTTCACTTTAAGTTGATTTTCCTAAACTAGACAAGACTACAAAGTCGCTTACTATAAACACTATTTGAGCAGAACATGGGTTGATAAAATCAAACCTTGTATAATCAAATTAATGAAAGGTTCCATCTGTCTTTAAGTGGCCCTCATGGAATGGAATTATTCGTACATATTATTGGACTTAAAATAAGCACTGCACTCCTTTGGTTGATAGTGGAGAAACGTGGTAGGGCACACTTTTAAATGTGGAGTAACACGTGGGCTGTGGCTGTGAGAAACAACTTCGATGAAAGGAAAATGACACCAAGATTACCATAAATAATTAAGTTGGACCATTGTTGTTAGATTCAAAAATCGTTTTGTAGTTGACTATTTATTTATGTGGACAATTCATTCGTTCTATTATAAGTAGCAATTTTATTTAAAACGGATCCAATGTAGGTGGTCTACAAATGATAGTTGTTATCAACTATTAAAATTCTTGTGTCATATCTTAGGAATCTCCTTTAGGCATATATCTGAATCCATGACCCAGTCACCAACAATCCTCTAGAAAAGTATTTGATGTATATAGTTCAACTCTTGGGGATGATTACTAATTTCATATGGGTTTTATGAGCAATAATTTTTCATAATTTCTGTCAGGTTTCTTTAACTTTTTTTCTTAAAAAAAGTTTTTTTCTTCTTCTTCTATCAGCATGGTTTAATATTTCAAAGTTGATACTAATATGCACTTGTAAGACTTCTCTTCTGCTCAGCAAACATCATTTTAACACTGTTGGTATAAAAATTTGAAACCAAAACTTCTTAACCTTGCATTAAATTTTCTCACTTTTAATGACAAAATATTTCTCAATCCAGATCGACATTAATCCATGTTCATATAGAAATTAGTGGTCACTCTAGACAATCGATTAGCAAGCAGATCAATTTATGACCTAGAATTCCAATAAACTATGGTCTTCTGTTATTTTTCTTTCTTGCTAAAACCCTATTTTGGTCCCTTATAATAATTGTTTGTTTCAATATAGTCCCACTTTTATTTTTGGTCTCAATTTGGTCCTTAATAAATTAATTGGTTGCAATGTCGGATTTCCGTTCAAATTATTTAAACAGAGTTAACTGTTGGCCACGTGGATGCCACATAGATGCATAGGTGGATGCCACGTGGATGCCAAATTTCTTGAATACAACTGGAATCAGAATGGTCCGTTCTGAGTGCACACTTGGTGTGTTAATTTTGCTTTTGAAATGGGTCATTCCAGATGCAAAATTAACACACCACGAGTACAGCAGAACGGTCCGTTCTAAAACCAGAACGGGCCGTTCTGGTTTCAGAACGGCCCGTCCCAGAACACCAACTTTAACAATTAAATTTTTTAAAATTTTTTATATGATTTACTTATTTTGAATTAATTTAACGAAGTATCATATGATTTTTAATTTTTTAAATTTTTTTATAAATTTCATCTATACATGAAAAACTTTTTAATTTAACAATTAAATTTTTAAAAATTTGTTATAGAACATTAATTATTAAGTAGAATAAATCTATAAAAACTTACTCTTGAAGTAAATAAATTTTTTCTTCATTAACAATGAAGATAATTTTACCACAAAATAAAAAACAATTAAACAATAAAATAAAATATAAAAAAATATTAATGTATTTATTATATTAGATATAACAACATAATTAAAATATAATTAATAATATATATTTTATAAAATTATTAATATTTTATATATAAAAAAAAAGAATGAAAAAGATTTTAGTGGGGGCAAGTGTTCCCACTATAATTAACTTAGATTCGTCCCTACATGTGGTTGTGTGGTGAAATATTAGTCCTGTGTATTGTTTTCTTTTACTTCAGGTTGTACCTCCTCAAGAACAGGTTGTTGTTGTTGGGATACATCATTAATGACTTCAAGAAAAAATATCATGTCATTTCATCCTTTATTGTATAGTGTCAATTTGGTAGTAAGTGGTTCACTACAGTTTGACTAACAATAAAATAAAATCTGTTACCATTGTCTTTAGTGATACACTACATTATCCTTAATGATACACTGTATAGCCCAACTGTTTAGTAATTGAAGTTATCAATTTCCATTACAATATTACCAAATCCAATGTTTGAAATGCTTTGTACCTCGAGTCTTTTTCCTTCCACGATTCACAACCGTGAACTATAATCATTAACCTTTTGTGTTGGGCATTCTGGAACCAGAACGGCCTGTTCTGGTTGCACTCTTAGTGTGTTAATTTTGCACCTGGAACGGGCCGTTCCGGATGCAAAATTAACACACCAAGAGTGCACCCAGAACGGCCCGTTCCGGTTTCAGAACAGGCCGTTCTGATTCCATGAAATTTTGCATCCACGTGGCATCCACCTATGCATCTACGTGATATCTATGTGACCAACAGTTAACTCCGTTTAAATAATTTAGATTGAAGTCCGATATTGCAATCAATTAATTTATTAGGGACCAAATTGAGACAAAAAATAAAAGTGAGACTAAATTAAAACAAATAATTATTATAAGGGATTAAAATAAGTTTTTAGCCTTTTCTTTTTAAAGACTTAGAGCAAAGAAAATTAATTCAAATTAAGACCCAGCTTGAATACATTTTCAATAAATATTAATAGGAGAAAAAAATCAAATAGTTGAATGAATACTTTTTTATAGGTTTAATTTTTTTTTATAGGTTTAATTTTTTTTTATATAAATTAAAATCAACTCATACACCCCACTTTTATATAAAAAAAATTCTGATTTAATTTATTTATTAATTTTTAACTTATCATTGGTTAATTTTAATAAAATATTCTATCATCAAATTAGTTTTTTCTCCTTATTGAAATAGTCAAGCATCAAATTACTTTCTTTCGTGAAAATTGCAAACGTATTACAGCGAATATTATTTCCAATTCAACCTTGACTCTTCTTTTCTTCATATTCCAAAGCCACTAAAACGCACAGAATCCCACAACAATTACCGGGTTGAACAGAAGACCTTCCAACATCATTAGAAAGAGTTATGGATGTTAACTTAATTTTATAAAATTAACTTTTAAGATGAGAATTATTTTTTATTTATATATATTATTATGACTTTATTTTTAAGTGTTATGGGATCTCAAATATATTATAATTTACATTGAGTATTTAATATTTTGAGTATAAAATTTATAAGACTGGACATATACAAGTGGCTTAATAATGACTTAATAGTAGGCATCTCTCTCAACTTTGTAAACAATTGGTGGGAAAACACATTTACTTATATTATTTCTATAATGAATGTATGCGTATTAGCAAAACAAAGTTATTTATTATAGTTTGTTAAACATTTTTAGGAAAAATTACATTGATATATCTTAAGATTTGTTTAAATGACACACACCTTCCTATTAGTTTTTAAAAATCAGTTACCTTCTTCAGAATAAAGCCATCAATTAAAGCGAGAAAAAAAGAAAAAATAAAAGTCAATTCATATTTTGCCAATCATATACACGTCTATCATTTGTTTCTAAATTACATACAATGTTATGTCTTCTTTGTGAAAATCTTTATTGTTCTTCAATTTTGAAAATAATAATTTCTCAGTCTGTTCTTTAAAATTATTTTTTGAAGTTGATATATATATATATATATATATATATATAATTTTTTTTAAATCACAACAACATTGTTCTTACTAGAATTCGCAAGTGCTCCAACGGAGGGAAGACGTCCTCGTCGCTCTAATATCCACGACCATAGGGGGCACCTGTGAATACTCTAACACTTAATTTAGAGGGAAGTTTAGGTTATGAATGAGATTGGGGTAGAATGATACTTGGTGTCTCATATATAAGTGATTGATCTTTAGGCTTAAAGGTAATGTTGCGTGATTTTTCTGGAGATATTCTTGTTAATGAATAAATATATTGTTCTTGATAATATGATTCTTGATTTTGGGATAGGATATGTGGAGATAATGTTGTATGGTATCCTAGAGATCACTAGTAGAAAATAAGCATATTACGTCACCCATTTTACGTCGGAAATACGAAAATCTGACGTAAAAAAAATGCGGTGGCATTTTTGTAATTTTTCCGAACTTTTTTCCGTCGCCCCTGGTAGGGTCCGACGTAAAAAAGACGCAAATTTGAATAAGAGAGCGCGAGGCACACCGCGCATTCACTTTTCATCACTTTTCGTTTTTTTCTCTGTAAACCCTCTCCCTCTCCTTTGTTACTGAATCGTTTTTTTGTTTTTTGCAGAGGGATGAACTCTTTGTTACTCATTTGCACATTGTTGCTGCTCCTCAGGTATGAAACAAGGTTTCGTTAGTACTTTTCTACTTAGCATTGCTACTCTGGCTATCTATTTTATTCGATTTTTTGGTTGTTCTATTTGTATAGGTAGTGGGTGTTTTTTTTTTGTTGTTCTGCGAAGTAGAATGGCTTGTTCTGCAAGCAAAACGGCCCGTTCTGCAAGCAGAACGGGCCGTTCTGCAAGCAGAACGGGCCGTTCTTATTGCAGAACGGGCCGTTCTGCCTGCATTCTTATGTTTTTTTTTTGTTTTTTTACTACTTTTTTACGTCGGATTTCGTAATGTCCGACGTAAATTTACGTCGGGTTTGCAGGTCCGACGTAAAATTTACGGCTCCTTCTTCTACGTCGGTACGTTTTTCTGACGTAAAAAGCCTAAAATATCCGACGTAGTACACCTCTTTTGTACTAGTGGATACATTCTGGTCATTGTGTGAAGATATTGTCCTTGATAAGTGGTATACCATTTTCTATTTGTTTAGGACGTAATCTGTTGGGGATTTACTCGACACATCAACATTGGGCCAATGGGTATGACATGGGCTAGTTTGCATCTTGCTCAGCTCATATGTTTGTGTAGTCAACCTAGTTAGGTTGGGTGGTGTATAAGCCCCTCGAGCTCTGAGTTTATTAGGTCGAAGGAGTTGCAAGCGAGGTCATTTCAAGTCAGGATTTATGGAGGGCTCGGTCAGGTTGGGTGGTACATAAGCCCCCAAGCTCTAAGTTTGTTAGGTTGAAGGAGTTGTAATTCTTGCTTTGTATTGGTTGTATGTGCTACATTCAATGTGAGGTTTGTTGGAAATTTCTTATGTCATTAATGGGTAATAAATGTCGTGCTTTGCTTAGGAAGTCTGGATTGTTGACTAGCACGAGGAAGTGATTTTTTTTATATCATAAATAGAACAAGAGTCTCCATTCTTGTTGGGAGTTTCTTCTTGCGTTCAAGACTTTGAGGCATGTTCTTTCGTTGTTGCTTTGTTTTCATCTGTCGCCACACTAGACTATAAATTATGTCATAAAGTGGAAGCACGTGGTCACTCAGGAGGCATTTGGATACTGATTGCCCAACATAGTCAACTAGTGACCAGTGAAGTAGCTGTATCTCCTCAAGATATTTGTTATTTAAATCTTCTAGAGTCAATGATACCAATTCAAATTTTTGCATAGTTTTCTTCTTCCTCTTCCCTTCTCTTTTGTAGCTACTATAGTTGTTATTTAAAGCTTCTAGAGTCAATAATACCAATTCAAATTTTTGCATAGTTTTCTTCTTCCTCTTCCCTTCTCTTTTGTAGCGACTAGAGTTTAGAGAAGCTTGTTGATTGAATGTTGTTGATGTGCAAGTGCTTTTTGATGCTTGGAATCATTGATTTTAATCAAAATTGTTTGAATGATGAGATGATGTCGTTTTGGAGTTTTTGGTTCCTTAAGGATGTTTTGGAATATAAATGATGATTCTAAAATGGAGATGGATGCATATGGTATTATGTGATGGAATTGTGTTATACTTGTGGTATATGTGTTGAAAATATGATAGCATACTGGTTTAGTTGAGTGATTTGTAGGTTTTGATCCAAAATGATATTTTATTATGTGTAGAATCATCACACTAGGTGCACTTTCATGGCGCCAAGCATGGCTCAAGTTAGGGGTTCTTTACCCTTGTCACATCGGGTGCAAGATTGGAAGCGTCGAGCATGGATCAGTGAGGAACTTTTTGACTTCATCATGTCAGACATGGAGTGATAGGCAACGAGCATAGATTAGTGAGGAACTCTCTAACTTAGTGACATTGGGGCCCCAAGTTGAGTGACGTTAAGTGTGATCAAGATAGAGACTCTCTACTTGGACAACGTCAAGTGCCAGCATTGTGACACCAAGTGTGAATCAGATAGAGGCTATCTATCTAAACAAGGTTGGGCATAGGTTTTGGCCACACTATGCGTAATTGACTTAGAGGTTTTCTGCCTCATCAATGCTAGGTGTGAATGACCCATAGGCTCTTAGCTTTAATTAACGTTAAGCATAGAAAGAATGGAGTTAGGCATGGCTTGTTGAATGAAAACTTGGTGCTCTAAGTTTTTTAAGGATTGAAGAATGATGATTTAATTATATAGTTGATCTAGGATAATGTATAGTGATGTATGAAGTTGTTTGAGCTATAAGTTGATAAGTTAATTAAGTTGCAAAGTTGTATGATGTTATAGTTGATTAAGTAGTTAAGTTGTTGGGCATTTGGTGAAGATACATGTCTTAGTTGAGATACATAAAAATTTTAAAAATTAGAGGAGAGTAAAGTTGTTTTAAATATTAAAATATCGCATTGTATGGATATAATTTGAGGTGCTCTCGGAGTCTAAGTTGAGAACTCTTTAGTAAGTAAGTTGTCTTTTGAAGGGTTAGTTGTTTTTAAGTTGTCTCCTTTAGGTTTTATGTGAAATCTGTATAGGACCCGGTCAAACCATACATGTATAAAGTGACCAAATTGAGTAAGGTATGAAGTCGAAGGTTAAAATCGTTAATCGATTACTAGAAGAGTGCATAGTACTTGGAGGATAGTCGGTGGGCTAATCTCATAGGAAGCTTAGTTTATGCATGTTAAGGCCATAGTAGGCTTACATCCAAGTTATTCTACCTTGATAGTAGCACTAGATTTTCCTAGTTTAAGTGGCGAAGCCTAAAAAATCAACTTAAGTTATTTACTTGGCACTCTCAAAGGCCTAATGTTGTCTATACTTAACCTGGTTGTGATAGGTCTATAGTTTGATAGGTTCTAACCACTTAGATTGCTTATCTTTGTTGTAGAAGATCTTCATAGTTGATATGCATGATAATGTATTAGTTGTGTAAAGATGTTAACGTTGATAACATTGTTTATGCTAAAAGTTGTTAAGTCATGTTACATTGAATGTTAGTTGCATTATCTATGGTGCATTGTTAAAATCTTATGTTGTTATATGCTATGTTGATTTTTTTCACAAGCTTACCCCCTTTTTTTAGTGGTTAAAACTGTAATAAGCATACTTAATGTGGGAAAAGGACATGATTAGTAGGATAATTTGGTTAGTTGTATAGGGTCATATTGGTGGTGACCCAGTTTTTGGTGATGCTACCCTAGTGTAACATATTTATTATATAAACATTTGACCAACAATTAAGGATATTTTGTATTTAGTTGTAGTTTATGTATATTATATATATATATGTACATGATATATATGCAATACTATAAGAATATATTCTCCCATTGCTTGTAATTTAATTTGTCTCTAGTATCTACTCAACACAGTAGCGTCAAACAAATACTTGGATTTGATTTTTCCTCCCGTTTCCTCTTATTAACTTGATTTTATGTTTGCTATTACAGCATATCTCAGCATCAAAAGGATATGTAGATATTTCTTCCTTTCTTGTTGAACAAGGAGTAAATATCAATTCCACAGGTTAGCTTTTGAACTTTAAAACCCAAATCAAGGACAATATTTTATTGAAAATGCTTCTTTGAAGAAAAAATAGTGTTACATTCTAAACACCCGTTTGTTTTAGATAAATTTGGAGCCACTCCCTTGCTTGAAGCCATCAAGAATGGACATGAAGAAGTAGCATCTGTACTTGTTAATTCGGGAGCGATCCTTACTATTGATGATGTTGGTAACTTTCTCTGCATGACTGTTGTAAAGAAGGACTTGGACCTTTTAAAAAGGGTTTTGGCTTGTGGAATCAATCCAAATGCCAAAAATTACGATCACCGTACACCTCTTCACGTAGCTGCCTCTCAAGGTTTGATTACAATGGCTGAATTACTACTACAAGCAGGAGCAAGTGTTTTATCTAAGGACACGTATGGACCAAATATTGAGTTAGCATTCTTATCAGACAATACTTTTTATTCCATTAGCACCTTCATTGTTCTAATGTAAACTTATTTCATTGCTAACTTGGGGGGATCTTAGAATAGCATTTTTGTGTTGTTTATTGAACTGCAAAATAACATCTTTTAATATTTCCTTCTGGAAGATGGGGAAATACACCTCTTCTTGAAGCTCATACCGGTGGAAATAGAAATATGATCAAAATGTTCGAAGTTGCAAAAGTTTCTCAGTTGGCTGAGTTGTCCAGCAGTATTCATGAAACTCAAGGTATGGTTAAGTTTCTGAGCACAGAATACCATCTTAGACGATCTTTAGGTGTTTGGTACGCTGGCATTTGAACCTGGGTTGTTAGATACTCTGTATTTTGAACGTTAGGGATGTCAAGATTCTTATGTTTCGTGAGCAATTAAAATTCATTAAAACCATTCACATTATGTCCTAGAATCGTATCTTGCATTTTTAAGTTTAACTACTCGGATACCCAACATCCACTGAAATACATAATTTTTTTCCCCATGTACATTCTAACAAATCATATGCGTTCAACAATTTTGCAGCAACACCAATGTTGCAGTCAAGAAATGAAATTCCCAGAAAGAGGTGTATAGTATTTCCTTTCCACCCATGGGATCAGAAAGAGGAAAGAAAAGAGGGAGTGGTCCTATGGGTTCCACAAAGCATTAAAGAGCTTATAAAGGAATCGATGAAACATTTGGACATTCCAAATGGTTCCTGTATTTTATCAGAACAAGGTGGAAAAATTCTTTATGTGGACATGATTAACAATGATGAGAAGCTATTTCTGGTTAATGAAGCACAGAATGGGGTGAAAAATTATGGTTATCCCAGTGTCCAGACACAGAAGTAGGATCAAAAATTGTAAACGCAGTTACGACTAGCTGGTTAAGATACCTTTCCTCAGTCCACAAATTTTTCTATTCCAGATCAGAAAGTGTGGAAAATAGATCCAGAAACTATGTTCAATCAATTTGCATTGTATGTCTGCAGTTGTTGTTAGTACAAACGAATTATTTAACGAAAAATGTATATCTCACCACGGCTTATGTTTCATTCTTAAATTAATAATTTATTTTTCGAGGGAAATGTTTTAATGAAAAGGAAAAAAGAGGATCTTAACGTGTACGTGGTTAATCAGATTGCCTTGTTTTTAATCATATGAGTACATGGTTGCATTAATCAAGCATTTGTTATGCTACTTAAATCATGGTCGTGGTTGATGAATTTCCGAGAGAATTGTATGAATGATGAAAAGATTTGAAACACAAAATAAGTAAACTAGATTTTTGTGTAGCGTATGTAATCACTTCCGAAATCAGCAATGACATGTCAGCTATGAGCAGCCTGACATCCAATGGATTAATGGATGAGGAAAGAAAGTATAGTGATATAAGTAATTTGATTAGAGATGGGGTAATTATTGTGAAATTGACATCACAGGGTAATGTTTTTGTTGCATGTTTGAGGTATTTATGCTCTTTTAGCAATTATGTTGGTTGTTCATGTAGGGTATTTGGACACAATATCGAGGAAAGCCAAGGTTTATGTTGCTACACCCATGTCGTGGATGGCGACTCGAGTAAGGGGAGAGAGAGACCTTGACAACAGATTAATATGTTTCATTATGAGTTGGATAATAACTGGTCTAAAAGGGTGGTGTTGGTCATGACATGCATGTGTTTGGAAACTAAGAGGGAGCACTTGAACTATAAGAGGTGGTCTTTGGAGAAGAAAGGGGATGCGCTCGTGACTTGTGTGGTGAAGCTCATTGTTGAGAAGAGGGTGGTGTTGTGGGAGCGTGACAAGTATGCTGGAGAAGTGGAGAATCTGTCATTCGAACGACTATTGTTGTTGGCCTAGAGAGGGATTGCCAGGCTCATGTGACAATGTTGGAGAATGTTGCGTCTAGGGAGCATGAACTTGACTTCCAAAAGGCCACATTTGACAAGTGGCATTTTATGCATCAAATTTTCCTTTGAATAAGTTGAGTGTTGATTTAAATGTTATTAATGAGAAGCTTATGAAGGAGGTCTACCTTCCCTACAAGGATGATACAGAGGAGTTGTCCAATGAGTGGGAACACGTGTTCATGGCCTTTAAGGTTGATGGAGTTTCTACTGTGGAAGCTATTAAGGCTTTGGTTTTTGATGAGAAAAACACTGGTTTTGTGGGTAAGACATCTAGAGATGTTGATGGTTGAGATGATAGGGAGATATCCTATGTGTTTTAGTTAGTATTTGAAAGATGTTTTGCTTATGTGATCATGATGGTGATATGTTTGTTTGGATTTTGTTTACTGATTTGGTTGTCGTCTCTATAGTGAAGAACACTTAAATCAAAGAGAGAACATCTTTCATACAAGATGTAAGATTTCTAAAAAAACTTGTTCTCTCACTGTATAGTGGATCTTGTTGTAATTGTTGTAGCACAACGTTGGTAGAAAAGTTAAACCTAACAACCATTCCACATCCCAAACTTTATAGACTTCATTGGCTTAATGAAAATGGCAATATGGTGGTTGATCAACAAGTCAAAGTAAATTTTTTCATAGAAAAATATGAAGATCAAGTTTTTATGTGATATAGTGCCAATAGAAGTTTGTCATATCTTGTTAGGTAGACCATGATAATTTGATAAGAAATCCATGCACAATGGTCTAACTAATTAGATAAGCTTCACCATAAGGAAAATAAATTTGTACGTTATCCTCTATCACTAACTCAAGTTGTTGAGGATCAAGTACAAATGAAAAATAAAAGAGATGAAGAGAAAAAGAAATAAAAGAAAGAAAAAAAGAAGGTCCCTAAATAGTAATGGCAAAGAGAAAGTTGAGAAGTATAGTATTCCCTCCCTAGAGATTTTTCAATAGCAGAGAATTTTTTATACAAAAGTGGTCAAAGAATTTTTAATAGAGTTTGATGATGTATTTCCTAAAGGGGGTCCCAAGGGATTACCTTTTTTTTAGAGGAATAGAACATCAAATAGATTTTGTGCTTGGAGCAAGCCTACGAAATAGGCCAACTTACAAGACAAATCTCCAAAAGACTAAAGAGATAGAGTCTCAAGTTCAAGAGTTGTTGGATAAGGGATGAATTCAAAAGAGCCTTAGTCCTTGTATAGTTCTTGTGTTATTGGTGCCCAAGAAAGATGGGAAATGGATGATGTGTTGTGACTGTAAAGCCATAAACAACATCACCATTAAGTATAGGCACCTTATTCCTAGACTTGATGATATGTTAGATAAATTACATTGCTCTACCATATTTTCCAAGATTGATCTTAAGAGTGGCTATCACCAAATTTGAATAAAAGAAGGTGATGAGTGAAAAACTATTTTTAAAACCAAATTTGGACTATATGAGTGGTTAGTGATACCTTTGGGTCTCACTAATGCACCAAGTACATTCATGCGATTTATGAGCCATATCTTAAGGGTTTGCATAGGAAAATTTTTAGTTGTTTATTTTGATGACATTTTAGTTTTTAGTAGGAGCCTAAGTGATCACCTAGGACACTTAAGGCAAGTCTTGTTAATTCATAGGAAAAATGATCTTTTTGCTAATGTAGAGAAGTGTACTTTTTGAGTAGATATTGTAGTCTTCTTAGGTTTTGTAGTTAGTGCAAAAGTGGTTTATGTGGATCTAGAAAAAATTAAGGCCATCCAAGAGTGACCCACCCCTAAAAGTGTTGGAGATATTGAGGGTTTCCATGGATTAACTAGCTTCTATAAACATTTTGTTCTTGATTTCTCTACACTTGCTTTACCACTCAATGAGTTAGTGAAGAAAGATGTTCCATTCCTATGGGGTGAGAAATAAGAAAAACCCTTTCAACTCCTAAAAGATAAGCCCACCATGCACCAAATCTAGCTCTACTTGACTTTTCAAAAGCTTTTGAGCTAGAATGTGATGCTTCTGGGATAAGTGTGGGAGTTGAATTAAGTAAGGAGGGCATCCCATTGCTTATTTTAGTGAAAAATTACATAGTGCCCCCCTTAATTACCCCACCTATGATAAAAAGTTATATACTTTAGTGAGGGTCGTTCAAACCTGGGAAAGTTACCTTGTTTTTAACAAGTTTGTTATACATAATGATCATGAATCACTTAAATATTTGAAGGCTCAAGGAAAATTAAATAAGAGACATGCAAAATGGGTATAGTTCTTGGAACAATTTCCTTATATGATCAAATATAAGAAAGGAAAAACAAATTTAGTGATAGATGCTTTATCTAGAAGGCATATATTATTTGTTTCCCTTGGTTCTCAATTTTTAGGATTTAATAACATCAAGGAATTGTATGAGAATGATATTGACTTTGTAACAATTTTTGCTAAGTGTGGCCATAAAGCCGAAAATAGTTTCCATATTTTGGAGGGGTACTTGTTTAGAGAAGGAAAGAAAAATTGTACATATTCCAAGGATTTATTAGAAAACTATTGACAAAAGAGATCCATGAAGGTGGGCTCATGAGGGATTTTGGAATAGAAAAATCTATTTCAATGCTTAAATTTTTTTTTTTGGCCCTGATGTGAGCCCGTGCACAAACTTAAAGATACCATTCAATTTAATCGTATCTCACGCTACAAATCCCAAAATTGCACGATTCCACGATGAGATGAAATATGACATTCTAAAATGCAATTTAGACATACAAATCATTGAAAAAGGATTAGTAAAATCGGAGATATGAAAACAAGAAAGTTTGGACAGATTTTGAAAATTAGCAATGTGGAAAAATAACAAGGAAATAGAAAATGAGTGAGGAAGAAACTGATAGGCGCCACAAACAATTGATGTTTGATAAGCCTTTAGGATCACTACAAGAATTTTAGTGAACTCTTGATAAGATCAAATGTTCAAGGAAGAACCTTAGTAGAGACAATTCTCACGCTTCAGAAAAATAAACATCCAAATCTGTCACGTACTAAACAGTAAATAAAAGATAAATAAATTATCAGGATTACAAGCTAAATAAAATGCCTTTGCGTTTAATTGAGACTTAAAGAAACTTGAGGTCTTGGTCTTAAAACCATCTATAAACACTTTATTATAACTATTATTATTATTATTTTTTAAATATTGAAGTCATTGATGACATTCAATGATTAGTACATTTTGGCCTCTAAGTCCTTTTCCTTAGGTGTAGCTTTAAAGATTGTTGCCATCACTTGCTATATGGACTCATCTACCTTCTTAGTCTTAGCTCTAGTCATAGGCCCTCAAGTAATTATGTTGAACCTTGATCAAATTCAATGTCCCCATCATTCCCTCTTTCTTGGGAAACATTTGCTTCAAATTCTTCCAAGTGTAGCCTTTGGTAGATTTTGTAACGACCCGCCATGGTCACTACACTTAGAGGAATCGTGCTAACGATACTAATCGTCTAAGAAAAAATATTAAGTTGGATAACAGAATATACACATAAAGGAAAATATAAAAGAAAATCAAATATTTATATACAAAATATAGTGTTATGTATATACAGTCATCCAATATAATATTGCCCTAGTACCGGTCAAGCACAGACAAAACAATTACCCAAAAGGGTAACTCTAACACGAGGACAAAACTCCACGTCCCGCAGCGGTCACCACAATTCCAAGCTATACTACAAGGAAAATGATGAATTGCGACAGAAAAATTGTGACGATTATCCTAAAACCGTCGTCGCTTTGATATTGCGACCCTTCATACGACGGTTTCAACCAACCGTCGCAAAATTTTTCCAAATTGCGACGGTTTCTCCCAAAACCGTCGCAAAATTTTCTCATTGCGACGGTTTCTCCCAACCGTCGCAAAACATTTTAACATTGCGACGGTTTCTCTCAAAATCGTCGCAAAATTTTCAAACATTGTGATAGTTGGGAGAAACCGTCGCAAAATTTTCCAACATTGCGACGGAATGTAGAGGCGGTATCTTTTCTATGCCTAGAGCATCATAGTTTATGCAATTAATAAATGAATGCAACCTATTGGATTTGGGAGCCAAGGGCCTTAGGTTCACATGGTATCGTAAACAACTC